AGCATAAGGATAACCACTAGTATACCTCTATAAGGGCCCTAATATCATATAACTATGGTTAATAGCGCCTATCATTGGCATCTTCACGCAGAGTGCCCGCACAACCGTTTTACGCAACTCAAACAAGGGCAGAGAGCCCGGGCTTTACCCTGGACTAGATTCCTATATAGCCTTTCTAGATCATGGACTGTGATCTTGATGAGCTTACTATCGTACGCGCAGAGCACCTTCTGCCCCTGATCCCTTCACTTGATAATCGGGAGCATATCAGGAGCATTGCCAAAGACTTCGTTGTTATTGAACCGCTCAATCTGCTTTTACAGAGCCCCTTCCTTTCGCCTGACCAACATTAATTCCGCAATCACCCCACCCGTTTAGCCAGCTCTGCAAGGATCTCGGAACGAGGCTCTGGATCTGGTCCGGGCTCGACGGGACGGGGATCGAGCGCTCGGTCGACCTCAATCTAGCACTCATAATTGCCTTTGCTTTCCTAAGGTGCACGCTCTTCCTAGCGATCCTCGTCGCAAAGTTCACTCACGCCTTCTCGCAGATCGCCGGTAATGGTGAAGTAGAATTTCAGGGTCCAGAGACGAGAGAACTATCAAGCGCACGAACGAACGAAGCCTCTAGCGGCTCACCCAAGTGACCAAACAAGCTCCACTATCCTCTTACTTGCCAATGGGACCTTCTGCACGAAGCAGAGCTTGCAAAGCGTACTCTCTACCCTCCGCCAGCTGAGGGCTGCGGCTGTGTAGATTAGATGTTGGGCTTGGCTTGGCTTGGGACACAGATCAAATCAGCCCCTAAACCCTTTGCGGATGCAAGCGCATCATACATACAAGCTAATATACACTGTCTATTGCCAGTGCCGCCCCTGACTCGCCGTGGCCTACATAAATGGCTGTCATGGACTGAGGGAATTGGAATGTCTGAAACTCAGCATCACTTTTTTACTACTTGCAACCAGCTGCAGACACGGAAACCCTTCAACCCCCATCATCACCAGCCAGTTCTCCACACACAGACACCCAGAACTCACAAACCATGACCCAACCAACGCAGCCCTCCATCAAAACAATCGCCTTCCTCGGCGCCTCAGGCGGCTGCGGCCACGCAACGCTCGTAGCGGCCCTCTCGGCCGGGCACAGGTGCCTCGCCCTCTGCCGCGACCCTTCGAAACTCCACCCCCTGCACAGCTCATACCCAGACACTCTAATCCTCCGCCCTGGAAACGCCCACAACATCCACGACGTAATGCGCATCCTCACACATGACGAGCGACACCTCGTCGACGCCGTAAACTTCACGATCGGCAACAAGCCGGACCTCAAGGCCGCGGCGAGAGGCGAACAGGGGGACCCGAATGTCTGCGAGAAGGGGATGGAGACGCTTCTCGCTGCGCTGGGTGTTTTGAGAATCGAGTGGGGAGTTCAGGGATCCCCCTTGCTCTGTGTTGTGTCTACGACGGGAATTTCGGATAAGAGGGATATCCCGCTGGTGTTTTATCCGCTTTATCACTTTCTGCTTGCGGTTCCGCATCGGCATAAGAGGGCGATGGAGGGGAGGATTGTGGCGGGTCGGGAGCGGTTTGTCCGTGTTAGGCCGAGTTTGCTTTGGGATGGGGCTGGGGGTGGGGAGGGGAGGGGAGGGTTGTGAGGGTTGGGGTTGTGGATGTGCGGACGGAGAGGGTGGAGAGGAGGGAGGTCGGGTATACCATCTCGAGGCAGGAGGGTGGACAGTGGATGTTTGAGAATCTGGTGCAGAGGGCGGACGAGGGGGTTGTCTATGAGGGCAAGGCTGTCTCGTTGACCTTTTAGTGGTACAGGACGTGGGTTGTATCCTTGAGTTGTAATAAGATACTAGGTGCTTCAAGGGGATTTTATCCCTTGTAGACTTAGCAGATGGAACTAAAGAGGTTATATAGCAGTGGAACCAATTATATACAGAAGAGTGTCATGTGGCAATGACCTACGCGCAGGGGAGGTTTGCAAAGATCCTCCAAGTATCCACAGATCAATGCCATTCTCTAAGCTCGCTGGAGACCCTATGCAGGAATGCACTGCTACGCAGGCTGTAGCTGTGGGCTGTGTCTTTTTAAATGACTGCTCAAGGCACTGTCTCGATAAAATTACTGATCCATCACTCATACAGGTCATCCACACCATTGTCTCAATCAGTCCGGCTTAAAGTGTATCTAGGAGCAGTCTTTGGACGCTCATGGGATCGCCTCAAAACCCAAACGAGGTTAGATACCACAGCTGCTGCTCGACTTCAAGCTCAGCCTCGTACTGGCGACCAAATGCCCGCCACCATATATCTCTCATGATACCCGGACCCGTTGTGCCATACATCGCCTTTGTGAACTCCCAATATTCAGGCCGAAATCCAGCCGACTCCCAATCCACGATGCCACTTAATCGCCCATTCTCAACAAGCAGGTTGGAATGATGCAGGTCGGAATGTGTGAAATAGAACTGTGTGTGCTGCTGAACAGACAGGTTCTTGCGCTCAATAACTTCGGAAAATGGTTCGCCAAGGTGGCTTGTGAGGTGGTTGTTAAAGTCATCTTCGGTCTTGAATGGCCCGCCCTTGTTACCAGGGAGGCGGTGGTCAGCGATTTCAGCTCCGAGAGAGTCGCAAATTAAGTATGGTGTAGAGTTGGGTATTTTCCGCAGCTGCTCCACGCAGGCGTGGATGTTGTCACTAAAGCGGTCACGCTCTTGGTAGGACATTAAGTGGCGTACGTCCCCAATAGGCACGCCTGGCAGGCGTGTCATTAAAATATAAGTAATACCTGCATTCTCCCAAGTATCAATAAGTTGTGGCGCGGGTATCATGGTATACTCCTTAATTAACCTCAGGACATTAGGCTCGTTTTGGCCAGCTCTTGTGCATTTCTTCATATATAGCCCAAGCGGGAGGCGTTGGGACCAGATATTAACCTCAAGTGGGTATAGCTTTCGCCCTATTTTTGCTAATAGGTTGTAGCACGATACCCGTAGCCATTGTGGTAGATAAAGCCATAATAGCTTGAATACATGTGAAACGGGCTTGGGTAGAGGAAGGCCTGGGGAAATGTTATTACTTGGTAAACAAGTTCTGAGCAGCTTACCTATTGACGGCCAAGGCCATCCTTGGTTCACTTTATCCTCAATGGAGAATAAATGCAAGGCAGTTGCAAAACGGCAATGCACATCAATCAAAAAATTACTTGGGAGGGGGAGACCCTTAACATTCGAAGTTGACAAGTCAAATGGTTGGAACGTGTTTCGGAACGGGGTGCCGTCGCCTAGGCACAGTCCAGTTGGCTCTTCGGGGTATTGCTTTCGCATTTCATACTGTGTTCCCCATCAGCATGTACTGCAAATCTGAGATAGCTCTGTAACATACCCTGCAGTTATCCAGGTATTCATCCTGCCAGGTAGACGACGGAGCCGTGGGTCGTGCAGAGCGCAGACCGATATCCACATGCCCAGCGCGAAAGGCTTTGTGGATGCTGGGTGGTAGTAGTAGCACATTGCGAAGAGAGATGGCATCATCTTGCGATTCATTTTCAAGCAACGTGTGGAGGTAGCTGACGCGACTGCTAGTTAGAAAGACGTCCAGTATGTCAAGCAAGGAGCCCTATCCATTGTTAGAAGGTTGTCACAGAAAAGCATAGCGTAATACTGCTCACATCTTCAGCAGGATCCAAGTCCATAATCATAGATGGTGGAATCACATAGGCTGGCTCTACATTAGAGCCCGCGACATGACTGGGGTGGGCTCTGAACGCGAAATCACGGCCATCCCTCTCGAAAGCCAAGTCCTTGATGTGCTGCGGCATCCGGTCGAATGCTTTTACTGGGTGCTGTCAGTTGAAAGAACGGTGGCTGAGGGGCAGGCCATACATTTGGTTGCAAGTTGTCTCCATTGTCGTTTGAAATCACGTAGCGAGTTTTCCGCCGTGTCGGTCGTTGCCCGGCTTCTTGACAGCAGGTACTGCGCTGCGGTTTCAGGGTCCACCGCTGACTCGACAAAGTGCTTTAGAATCAAATGTTCGGTCGGTGAAAAGTCGGCACTTGAAATAGCCTCAAGAGCCAACTGAGCGGTCGTCATCTCTAACCAAGTTCAATCAGAATAGCCTCCCAGGCCGTGGTTTTTGGATGAATCGTCTTTGATGTTGACGCTGGCTGCCCAGCGGTGATTACACAAAACAGCGGCGGAACAACCTTTCTGCGTGTATGTAGGGCACCTTCCCAATTGGGCGAACGACATTGAACAGACAACTGCAGTTGACGGGTTTGGCTTATAGGGCATGCGTCACACATGACGAGATGCAGCTAGCGAGCGGGGCACAATGGAAACGAGCCTCAGCGAGATCAAACTATGGGTAGTGTCAGGATTTTTGATCCGGCGCCCAAGCTGAGGACCCAGCGCCGCCTGAAGATATTGGAAAGACGCCCGCTGATGACGATGTTGATGACAGCGGCACCGAGTCTCTAGTAGATGGCAATCCAGGGTTAGTAGAGGCCCGGGGCCCAAGTTGGCGTTTCTGCTTGAGAGGATCACGGCGGGCATGAGTTGGGTGAAGAGCTAGGAGTTGTAGAGGAGGCATATCGACTGTGGCGGTTAGTCTGGGGCAGTCTTAGGGGTGGGTCAGGGACGGGCGTGCGATGTTGGCCACGCTTGTTCGGGGGTTATGTGTGGCATTGTGCTGCCTGCACCTTCCGATCCTTTTCCAATGCCTCCTCTCCTACACTAGATAAGCGCTTCCAGCCCTAACCCATCTTGCGGAGTCCACGGTTGAGAAAGGACCCGGGGCTCCTCTGCGGTAATCCATTTTCTAAATCCCTGAAGGTAGTGTAAATGACCCTCACCTCGTCTATATTAGGTTCTAGTGGCGCACGCACAGCAGGCCATATCCCATTGAGTAATTGAATATATGGCCTGCGCAAGAATAGGGCAACAGGTTGTTTCAAGTCCAAGTGCGCAAAAAGGTGACCTAATAAGCATCAACAGGCAAGGTGGCCGAGTGGTTAAGGCGCTAGTTTTAGGCACTAGTGGGAAACCTCGCGAGTTCGAATCTCGTCCTTGTCAAAAAAATTTTTTTGCCTCGGATTCCTTTTCCCCTCGTCCAACTTCCACAAGTGGCAGATTACATCTAGTACATTCATTATCTCAGGTTTGACAAGTATAAATCCAACAAGGAGTGACCTTTAGAATTGTCTTGCGACGACGGCAGACAGACTGTCCATTTAACCTGAGACGGCAACCCCAGACAAGAGAAAGAACAGAGAAAAATGCGACACATGCTTGCAAGCGAAGCATTAAAGATCCTATCTACCTGGAGAACTAAAGACCGCATAGCACATTTCGGGGGGTATGTTCTCTAGAAGGAACTCTGCTGCCATGAAAAGTCAAATAAATATAAAGCAACCCTGACCCTCACAGATCCCCGGTGCACTTTTCGCTCCAGGGTCATATGCAGGGCGAGATTATTGCGTGCTCGAGCTATGATACGCTTGGGAAGAATTGTGTGGAGTGGCTCAGGGCTAAGACGGTGAATTTACCCAAGAGGTCTTTGGATAGGGGGATCGTTTAGTAGAGCTCAACCCGATCACTCGGCTATCCCTTGTACTCCTCGGGCGCCAACAACTCGAGAGGCCTGCAGCTTTGATTCTCTCGGGAACGGCATCTGGATGGGTTGTAGCGGGGATGAGCGTAACGACGCCATCGATGAGGTTCTCCGCGAGGTCATGGTGCTGCTCTTCGTCGAGGTTTTCAAGTGCCGTCCCAAAGGCGAGCTTCCCGCCTGCGGAGGCGCTGATCAAAATGATTGAGCAGCTTAGATGCTTCAAATCCCAGATCGTGGCCTCGACGCAATCGTCGGGTACTTGTTCTCTGGGGCCACTCGGTACGAGACGCTGACGATTGTCATGGCATGCGGTTTGCTCAGTAGTCGGCAAATAGCGTCTTCCTGATCGACGCTACCCATTTCCCAGCCGCCGCCGTGGAATTACATGCCTACAGGCGCTGCTGCTGGCGCTGGCTTTGCATTTGGACTCCTGGTGGTGTTGGGGTTGGAACCTGTGGTGTAGACCCTCACCCACTCATCGGGCAGGGGAACTTCACATTTCGCGACGAGTCGCTTGGAGATCTTGTGCCATCCAGATTCAATCTCAGCGAGGGATACCGAGAGGCCTGGGCATTCGCCGAACTCATCGGTGAACTGGGGTTGTTGTTAGTGGCGTGCCTAATACACTTGACTGGAAGTATTGGCGGAGGTGAGTGATTTATGCTTACCATTCGCCATGCTGTGGCAAATTCTGGGGCCATGTTTGCTTGATTATTGGATGTTATTAATATAATTTCGTGGAGAAACGCAGAGTTAGGGCCGGGGAGCCGAGGCTATAAGAGGGGTTGCCCTGCCGCGGGTCTGAATATCATGGAGAAAGGACGTCCATTGAAAAAATATATATATTTTTTTCAGATCTCATCTTATTGTAAACACAATCAAAGCTATTCAGTAAACTCCCACAGTAACCAGCCATGGCCGCCCCAGATCCCGACCTCAGCCAACCCCCCTTCACCCGCTTCCCCTCCTGGACGCTCTCCAAACTCCGCCCCTCCGCGATCCAGACCATCCAGCGCGTCCACGAATTCATCGAAAACAAATGCATCCCCGCACAATCCATCATGAAATCCCAACTATCCCAAAACCGCTGGAGCACGCCCCCACTAATGCGCCACTTCCGCACCGAAGCCCAAGCCGCCGGCCTCTGGAACCTCTTCCTGCCCGCCGAATTCCCCTCCTCGCCGGGGCTCACGAACCTCGAGTACGCGTGCTGCGCGGAGCTCATGGGCCGCGTGTACTGGGCCGCGCAGACGATGAACTGCCACGCGCCGGAGACGGGGAATATCGAGCTACTCGCGAAATACTGCAACGCGGAGCAAAAAGAAAAGTGGCTTGGCCCGTTACTCCGCGGGGAATTCAGCTCCGCGTACTCGATGACAGAGCCCGACGTCGCGTCATCGGATGCGACGAATATCGGGATTGAGGTCCGCCGTGAGGGCGACGAGTATGTCATTAATGGACGCAAACTCTTCGGGAACGCGAAGTCCAATGCAGATGTTAAGCTGTATATTCTCATGGGCTGCACGGATCCTAATAATCCGGATATCCGTCGGCGACACTCTATGCTCTTGATCCCCGCCGATACACCGGGCCTGAGCATGCGCCAGAACCTCTCGATTATGGGGTATGATTGTGCGCCCGAGGGACACGGGGAGTTCATCTACACCAACGTCCGCGTACCCGTGTCAAACGTGATCCTCGGCGAGGGGAGAGCATTCGAAATCGCGCAGGGCCGTCTGGGTCCCGGGCGGATCCACCACTGTATGCGGTTACTAGGCCAGGGCGAGCTGGCATATGAGTTTGCGCTTGTGCGCGCGACGGACGAGCGGAAGAAACCACGAGGTAAACTCATCGGGGAATTCGACAGTAATATCGAGCGCATCGCGCAGATGCGCCTTGAGCTTGATGCGATGAGGCTCGTTGTGTTTAGTGCGGCGGATACGCTTGATTCGCAAACCAAGGATGGCCACGGCAGCAAGAAGGCGCGGTACGTCATCGCGCAAAGCAAGATCCTCGTTCCCACCGCCGTGGCGCGGATCATCGACGAGTGCATGCAGCTGTATGGCGGACAGGGCCTGACGCAGTATACGCCGCTGCCGGAGATGTGGATGTATGCGCGGTTTGTGAGGTTAGCGGATGGGCCGGATGCGGCGCATAGGCATCAGGTTGGGAGGGATCAGATCAAGGGGGCGAGGGAGGTGTTGGCGCGGCATGTGAGGTATTATGAGATTGCGCTGGAGTTGAGAAAGCAGTTTGGGTTGGAGGAGGAATTGAGAAATGATTGCTCGTGGGAGTATATCAACCTTGAGGGGGCCAAGGCGAAGCTGTAACTTATGGTCGATGAGAGATAGATTAAATGTGTAGTCTCTAGTGCTTGCATAATATTCCATGTATGTAGACTATAGCTTCGGAAACGTCTCATTCTGCAAATGATTCCTCCATCAACAGGCACAATGGGTGGACTGGGGGTATGTTGTCAGGTCGCAGGCAAAGACGGCGAGTTGGGCTTGTAGTTATTCTGAGTCTGGGAAGCCTTGTACTAGATATCTGCTTTGTACTGTCTAATTCGTTGTGAATGGAGCCAGCCCTAACCAACAACCCGCCCTACTGTAGCCCTCCAGAATACGAAGAACATCCATCCAAATGTACGAAGCACAATCCCATTGTTCCTCGGTAACCATCGGTAATTCTTTTCATTCACTTGTTTGCGTTCCCCCTCCCAGAATATTTGCTTTTTGAGGGGTGGAAAGAACGACCCTGGGACATCCTCACCCCCTTTCGTCTGGCAAACACCGTCAGAGAGGGGGAGCAGCATAATTCCAGCAGCCTAAGTAATACTTGACCTATTAGCTATCCAAGCCAATCAATCAATCCTTACTCAAAGTCCTCTCACCAACTCAACATGTCACACAGCCAACCCATCCACACCGAACGACCCATCCGCATCATCTGCATCGGCGCCGGCGCCTCAGGCCTCCTCTTCGCCTACAAGCTGCAGCGCAGCTTCAGGAACTTCTCGCTCACCATCTACGAGAAGAATCGCGAGATCGCGGGGACGTGGTTTGAGAATCGGTATCCGGGGTATGTATCATATCTCTCCCAAGTTGCTTTGCCTCACATTCGCGTCCATCCTTTGTCGGAGCATCCTGGGTATTACCGTATCTTCTTTGCACCAGCTGACCGCTTCAGTTGCGCCTGTGACGTCCCCTCACATAACTACACCTGGTCCTTCGAGCCTAAACCGGATTGGTCTGGCACGTACGCAAGCAGCGCGGAGATCTTCGGGTACTTCGATACCTTCGCGCAGAAATACGGGCTGCGCCAGTATTGCCGGGTGAATCACCAAGTCGTGCATGCTGCATGGAGCGTAGACACAGCGCAGAATCCGCATGGCGGCGGGTACGACGTCCGGGTCCGGGATCTGCAGTCTGGGCACGAGTTCGTCGACACCTGCGATATCCTCATCAATGCCGGCGGGGTTCTGATATCGTGGCGGTGGCCGGCTATCCCCGGTATCGAGAGGTTTAAGGGGGCGTTGGTGCATACGGCGGATTGGGATGATGGGATTGTGCTTGAGGGGAGGCATGTGGGGTTGATTGGGAATGGGTGAGTGCATCATACATATGTGCATGGCTATGGCCATGGCTGTGCCAGCTTTTCAGCGCGACTAACATCCCCAGCTCATCGGCCATCCAAGTCCTTCCCGCCATCCTCCCCCAAGTCCGCAAAGTAACAATCTTCATCCGCGAACCAACCTGGGTCTCCCCCGTAAAAGGCCTGGAGCAGCACACGTTCACCGCGGAAGAAAAGCGCGCCTTCGCAGAAAACTCCGCCCACCTAACCGAGTACCGCCAGGGCATCGAAAGCGGCATGAACGGGCAGTGGGCGATCTTCCTGCAGCACACAGAAGGGCAGCGCTCAACACGCGAGTACATGACACAGCAGATGAAAGAAAAACTACGCAACCCGGCGCTGGAAGAAGCCCTAATCCCGCAATGGTCCGTCGGATGTCGCCGAATCACCCCGGGGGTCGGATACCTCGAGGCGCTGGGCCACGAAAAGACGCAGGTCATCTACGGGAACATCGACGCGATCAGCAAGCCGGATGCATCTGCGACGACGGCAAAGGATACCCCGTCGACGTGCTCATCTGTGCAACGGGCTTCGACACCTCGTTCCGGCCGCGGTTCCCCATCATCGGGCCCGCGGGCAACAATCTGCAGGATGACTGGGAGCGCGAGCCGCAGTCGTATCTCGGTATCGCGGCGGCGGGGATGCCCAATTACCTCATGTTTCTGGGTCCGAATAGTCCCGTGGGGAATGGGCCCGTTTTGTCCGGGATTGAGGCGCAGGCGGATTACATGATGAAGATGATCGACCGGTACCAGACGACGAATATTCGGACATTTGCGCCGCGTGCCGAGGCGGTTCGGGAGTTTATCGAGTTCAAAGACCAGTTTAT